ATGACAACCAGAAGCAAGTAAAAGAAGAAAACATGTCTACAGGGACAAAAATATAAGGAACAGGAGTCAACAGTACCAACAAGGGTACTGTAAAAGCCTGAAGAACCATACAAAGGAATCAGATGGGAAAAGGAACAATGGACAAAAAAGGCCCTGAAGAAGTCAGAGAAAATAAGTGAAATGAATAGGCTTTCATCAAAAAGCCAGGTAAAACATAGGTCCTAAGAGCTGGTGGTAGTCGATGTAAGAAATGATTATAAATATATCATAATGGATCATGATGAAATGACACAAAAACTGTGACTCAAGATGTTATTAATTCCAAAATGCCACAGACATCACCAGAATGTTGATAAACAGAGAGATTGCTCCTCTGGAGACCAGATTTCGAGGTGAAGGTGTCGAGAACCACCACCAACTCCTCCCAAACAGAAAGAAAGATATCGTTGAAAAGATGCAAGTTGCACAGAGGGAGGGAAGTAATATCCCAGGTTGTGTGGGGTGATTGAGCCATCATGACAGAGTGGGATGGAATGATTAATGAAAAGGCACAAGGGCAGGTAAGAGATCACAGGGCATGTGCCTAGATCCCCCTATAGTGAGAGAACCTGTTATACAGGAAGAGGAGAGGGAAGAGCTATAGATAACAAGATCTTCATGGAATGAAGATTCAAAGGTGATAATTGAGCCCCCTTGTATGAGAATAAAAAAAATTCCCAGGAAGATTTCAAAGAATGCCGAGGATCACAGAAAAGAGGATAGGAGAGAAGATGAGGAGAAAAAGGAGGCGAAGTACAAAAAAGCAGGAACAGACCTTAATAAAGAACTTACACACCCCAAGGTTGCCAGTGAAGGAATACTATAGGTGAGCAAGAAAGGAGAGGCAGATACCAATGGTTCCAGATCTAAGAATCAGCTCCCAGGAAGTTACTGTCAAGTGCTGTAATGGCCCACCCTGTAGGAGGGGGGACAGTGAGAGGTGATAGGACAAGGGACAGATGGCTGTAAAGAAAGAGACAAAGGAGGAGAAAGAGGAGCACTTCAAGCATACAGAAAGTACACAAGAGTTTGGGATTCAAGAAATATAGAAGGGTCATGACTATAGGCTATACCAGAAGAGTCTTGAAGATGAGGAAAAGGAAGACATTGATTAATGTAGAGGTGGGACAGAAGGAGACTCATGTAGTAAAGCAACCAAAGAGTCACGATGATATACTAGTGAAAGAAAATGAATGTCATATACCTAACTTATGAACATAGCAAACAGGCAATGAGGAGGTACCTCTTCCTCATTATGCAAAGAGCCAGAGGCAAGGTCTGGAGGTTGAAGAGCAAGCCAATATCATCAACATGCAAGGCATGCTTTGCAGAAGACAATGAAAACGAATGAGAAGAGGCCTGTACTAAAGAAAAAGCAGGAAAGGGGGGGGGGTCAACCACCTGATGCATGATAGTAGGAACATTATGTTGAAAATACATCAGCAGTTAACTTCTTGTTATACCATGGTTCATTACAGCTCTGTATAAATATGGTAATTTAAATATGATTTAGAAGAAATAAAAAGAAAAGCAGAGAATATTAGTAGTCTGACATATTCAGTACTGAACAAGGCTGAACATCAAAAGGCTAGTGATCCTGCCATAAATTAAAACTTGTATAAGGCTATAGTCTAGGTAAGTTTAATCCACATTTTTTTCTGACAGAATTACATTGTTCTTAAGTAACTTTCATGATTATTGTAACAATTGTTCAGAAAATATCATGCAAGCTGGCAAGTGGGTAACAAAACACAAATGTTGTTCTGAAGTACCATAAATCTGATTAAGTTTTATATTAGAAAAAACAAATGACCTATTAGTTTGTTTTTATAAATTAACATACACTTTGTGCTGTACCATGTAGTCTAATAACTTTATTGTAAACAGCAAAATTTTAACTTAAATATTTGGACAGATACTTATATTAATGTCTAATACATTATTTGAAATTTATCACTACACAATTTTGATGAAATTTTATGAGGATGTAAGGCACACTCTCTCAATGTGATGGTAAATCAAGTGTATAATATAATTAAAAAATCAATTATTACACACTAAGAGAATGTTTCAATACTGTTTACTATACTCTGATAAAGTATACTACCACACTCAGTTATAAATTATTTTCTCTATGTGTGCAAAATTAAGTCTTAAAAGTTTTTTTCACACAAACAAATATCTAGAAATGTATTTGACTGACATTACAAAATGACATATCTACATATTTCTTAATCTGTTCCACCTTTTTCTAAGCAACTTTCTTACAATGAACAAAAAACAAAAACAAATGATTTGTCACATTTTAAGTTTTCACCTGTCCAATTTTAAAGGTTGAAAATAAAAACTCTGAGAAACTCTTAACATTGTAAAATAGGGCTTGAACATGGGTGTCAGTAATTAAAGAACACTATAATAATAATGAAAAATAGACAAATATCTTAGCTTGCCTCTTTTTTTGCCTAAAAAGAAGTTATATGCTGTAAGAATTATCAGACTACACCTTGAAATAATGCTGAAAACCATGTATGGTAATGACAGAAATTAAAGTAATAATTACAGACAATGGCAAACAGTAGTATATTTAAAGGAGCAGCTGCTACACAAATAAAATAAGATTTTAGTTTGATCATTGGTGCTGAATAACAGAAAAATTACCCAGAATTTAGACCTGAAAAACTACATTAGGTTAAATGTTTATTTTATTTCACTTCATAACTTTCACAGAGCAATACTTACCGGATACTAACTAGTTTGATCCACCTTTTATCACTCTCTTAAACAGGAACTGCAACAAATCTGATATAAAAACCCACACGTTGCCTACTTTTCTGCAAAAACAGATGTACCTATATGCATTGTTTATGTAAAATTTGGAGAATGATGACCGAGGCCCTTCTTAACCATGGGAAAAAATTTATATTGTGAACTTGTATGAGTAAACGAAAGATATATTCAGTATGTGAAATCATTTACTGACTGATGCTGATTAGATTTAAAAAATACCTTTGAATGTGATTTTTGTAAATTATTTAGGAAATGTATTTTAGTTGAATAAAAACATTTTGAACATCAAATTCATTACTTATGAAGAAATTGAGGTAATTTAGTGGTCTTAGCTTGGCATTAGAAATGGGGCACAATTTCTGTCCCCTGAAAACAAGCGGATAAAATCCTGAATTTTGTAAAATTTATTTTTATACACTTTCACTTTTATTCAAGTTCTTATAACTACTGTAGTAGATAGTCTTCTTCCATTCATGCTGTGGTTGCTTGACCCACTCCAGGATCAAGAAAGCTAGCTCACTGGTTTGGTGGTTCTTCCAAATGATGAGTAGGTTAATTCAAGTAAAATAGTTAAAAAAACAAAAAAAAAAAAAAAAAGAAATCTGGTATTAAAATAAATAAATAATATAATGTTAAAACAATCCTTACCCTAATTTTTGATATGGAGTGACATAAATAAATTCACCAACTTAATCGAGTTCACATTAAAATAGTTGTTGTACAAGCAATTTGCTAATATAAATAGCCTCTCAACCACTACCATAACTGTCTCATCCCAGCTAGCCTGCAGAGCTCTGGTGTTAGACAAATAGCCTTGTTGGCACTAGATGTAACAAATATGGTTTGGTTGATAAATATTATTATACACATTTATTTACTCTTACCCAGAAGTTCTTATAATTATTGATGTACAAAACATGTATGATAATATTACTTGTAAACTACAAGTAGACAGCATTATCTAACCTCAATTTTCAAGAAAACACAGGCCTTGAAAGTTGAAAAAGAACTTATCATACAATAGTGTTTGGATCTAAAGTGTAAAATAAGGTATATAAAATATGCATAGCAAAAATTATTTGTTACCAACAACAAATATGTTATGTTTTTCTGAGGAATTCAGAAAAACATACCCTCAACATTTATACTTTTGTTAGTTCCACAATAAGTAATTTAAAAAATACTATATTTTTATGTGTAATGAATGGAACACTTATTAAAGGTGTACTAAAGTGTTGTAATAAAGTAGCTAAGCAACACTTAAAAAAACATAAAATTACATATTTTAGACTCAGAATGACTGTTTCTGGATATAGTTTATTCACAGAATAAAAAAAAATTTAAGTAGTAGGCTCGAGCATAGGAATTATTTTCACACTACTCAGATGATCAACTTATTAACTACCAAACAGTTTTACACACACTACTAATATCCATATATGTAAATGTGCTATTGAACATCACAAAATCAGGCCATGGCTACATACATATCTCACAAGAAAAAGATTAAATACATGTTTTCATATTTCTGACAAACAATCTGAACATTTGTGCAAAACTATACATATGCTTTTAATTTCACTTTAAGATATATGCTGCACATTCAACCAGCAAATCACACATTTCAAAATTTTTCAATATTTTGAAGTCAGTTTGATTCAAAACATTCATATACATGTAAGTGGCATTCAAACACCATCATATCTAATATTCCTGATATAATATTAAGCTGCTGTGCCATGATTCTTAAGCCTCCAGTATGATGTTTTTTGCTTCCGTTTCCTTACGTATCTATATATCACGTACTAAAAAGTAGTGTTATAAGCTGCACAATCAAACTGAGATGTCTTAATTAACCCCATTGTTACAATTTCAACTATTTTGAAACAAGCTAATAAGATGGGTGATGTTAGAACACTACATCAGTGTTTCTCTACTTCTTCTCAAATTAATTAGTAAAATAACTTACATTCAGTTTTTACAGTTGTGGGCTCATACTAATTTTAATCTGAAGATTATTTAAGTTATAACCAAAAAAAATCCATATATTTAATACAGTTCTTACATAGTTATGACTTTAGAATGTTAAATACAGTACATAATCCTAAAATAAATGTATGCATAAGGAACCAGAAAATTCCTTAGGTTATGGAAAATAAAAACTTGCAACTCACCATCTAGATTTTGTTTCTTCAGTAAAGCCTCTTCATTGCTGATAATAATTTTGCTAATCTACACAATGGTTTAAACAAATTTTTTGTTAATAAAACTTCTGCTTTATTCATTTAAAAAACGAAAAATATTTTATCACAAAAATTAATCACACTAATATTTAAATACAAAAGTAAAGATGTCTTCAGCTCTTCTGCTTTGGAGTTCAATGGGTTGGAATTTCTGCTTTAAGTCCAGAAATAGACTAAAATATATCACAGCTTTCTATTTTCCATCATACAAGCATTCAAACCAACACACAAAAGGTATGAAGAAGTATAAAACATTTCTGATTAGGGTTTCAACAGGTGCAAAAACTTTACTTCTACTTCTCTTTACATGAACAATAATTTGATAAGAAAAAAGCTTTTTTACAGTCTGACTACACTTAGTTAGTTTAAAATATTAGTAGGCTTATAAAAAAAACTAGCTATAGGTTTAAATCCTGCCAATAAAGCTATGTTACAAATGACACTAGAGTGATTACTAATGCATCCAGCATATTACTGGTAATTAACTTTTTACACTCTAAGAGTTGATACATTAAATGGTCGTTTTGTGTATGCATCATAATTCATTCCTTTTAATTACCTCTCCCAATTCACCCTATGAAACATACTTTTGTAATTAGCTCTGATATAATTTTTGAGCATATTAAATATCACATGAGAAAAATATTGTATCAAAAGACAGAGGTGTTCAATTAATTTTTTTTCCCACTAATAGATGAATGATTTCCAGGTCCAACACCTGCATAATATGGCCCTTTGATCTAATATATCCTGTTGCACATCTTGCACAGGAGAATGTTACATAAGAAAAAACTGTGTTAACAACATGAAAAAAGAACAGGTGTACAATTTGTAGTGGAGCTATTTTTTATTGGTTCAAAAACTGGCTTCAGATTAGTAATAACTAGATTCTCAAAAACTTTAGATGCTACTTATCTTCACTTTCACTACAGTAAAACTGTCCACCTTTAACAGAAACACTACATCCTGTTAAAGATTATATACAGTTGTATAAAACAACAACTTAATATAAGAATTAAAAACCATTAAAACAGGATTGATTGAAAAAGAGGACTGCAAAAACTGTTAAGTGTAGGTAGGCATTTTCAGAGGAAAAAACACAAAAATTGTTAAGTGTAGGTAGGCATTCTAAGAGGAAAAAACACAAAAATTGTTAAGTGTAGGTAGGCATTCTTAGAGGAAAAAACACAAAAATTGTTAAGTGTAGGTAGGCATTCTTAGAGGAAAAAACACAAAAATTCTTAAAATTAAAAAAAAAAATTTGAAATTGTTTATGAATCCGAATAACCTGCAGGCTCATTACCTGGAGTTCTATTTGGCCTCACAAAATTTCACAACCTTAACACCCCACTTTGACATACACTTTCCACTTTAGAACATAGAACTACAATCTTGCCAAATTCCTAATCCCATCTTACAGCCTCTCTTGACCACATAATTCAGTATCCTCGATTCTTTCGACTATATTAGAGTTTACTACAAAAAATACACATTTCTTATTCAACACATCCTCTTTAAGTGGGCTCCCCATTGCTAATGCATTTCTTTGTCCCCTGAACATGTGGCATGATACTTGTTCTCCTTTGAAGTACAAACCAGTCCAGTGTAGAAGGTATAGTGAGGATATATTTATTCTTATCTGTTGCCAAGTTTCTGTTTAATGTTTTTCTTGAATAAGTCAACTCACAGCACCCATGTATGAAACTGAAATTAAAATCCCCCTGCCCTTGTTAGGTATTTTCACAAACTGGAATTCTACTGGTTTATCCATTACTATCAACAACAACAAAAACATTATTGGCCTTTCTACCAAGTTTTACAGCATTATCTCATTTGCTTAGAAACATAACCTCATTCTATGTTTACTCAATATAAAATCTGTTTGAAACACTCTATACAGAAATATCCTCTCTGTAAAATGTCTTAAAATGTAACAACTATGTTAAAAATGTATTTCAGAAAGTTACCAACTTAATTTAATTTGCATCATAACAACTGCTAATATAAATAGTGTCTCATCCACTACTATATCTGTTGTATCCTAGCTCGCCTGAAGAGCCTTGATATTAAGCAAAAGACCTCATCTGCAGTGGATATAACAGTTACAGTATGGTTGACATATTGCTATACTCTACTTTCACTCAGTTCTTATTAATAATACCTAAATGTCTGATAATAATATATTCCTATATACATACCTTGGCACACCGGTCGGGGATGGGCATTTGACCAATTAAAAAACAAACAGAAACTGGTCATGCATCTCTTTATTATTTGCTTTTTTAAATCTTAACTGTTAATAATGAATTTTACTTAACGTATGTTACATAAAAAAAAGAAAGAATGTTTATGGTTTGTCTCCAGTCTTCAACAAGAGAGCCAGCGATGCATACAGTATTGCCATTTTTATGTTGTGTTTGTTTTGAAATTAAGCACAAAGCTACACAATAGGCTATCCGTGCTCTGCCCACTGCAGGTATAGAAACCCGGATTCTAGTGTTGTAAGTCCGCAGACATACCGCTGTGCTACTGGGGGACTTCATGTTGTGTACTGTAAGTAAATATTACAAATCAAATATGTTTCCCTAACATTCCATTGCTTTCATGAAGTTATACTGCAACTTTTAAAAAATGTATAGCTGTTTGCTGCATAAAATTGAAGAATATTATAATACAGCACAATATATCATCACACACATTTACAGGTTTCAGTGGGTGAAGAGCAGAAACCCATTAAATTCCTGTATTATGTTACTGTGTAAAAAAAAGGTAAGAAATAGTAGACAATGACACATAAATATATATATTTTTTTGATTCGATTGAACACTTGGTCAATCTGAAGTACGATAGTAGAAATGCAATCCCAAGATTAGCATATAAGCAAAGAAGAGACTTTGTGCCTCAAAATTAATAGAAAAAACCCAGCTAATATGAGAGTATTTATGATATTAGATATGGGTTTTTAGATTATTTGACCAGTTAAAAAAAATGAGTGCAATTCAAAGGACCAACTTGCCATCCTTGAGATTAGAAAAACAGAACATCTCCTTCGAGTATGAGCTTTTAAGCATATGCATTTGTCAATTACAACAAATAACCATCTAGCAACCCCAAATCCTCTGTAATATGCCATGGCAACACAACTGGAACACAACAAATAAAGATAACTTGTTAATCAAAAAATACCTACTTACACTTCATCTACAGTCCTG